TTTGTAGGTATTACATCATGTGGGCTGGAGGACACTCATATGTGATACAGTTTTTAAAAGCTCAGACAAGTCGATGGGATAAAACTGGTTAAAACTCTCTTGTTGTCACGATCCTGCCCTGAGTTTCTCTGAGTTTATTTTTTTGTCGGTTCAGTATCTGTTATTTAGTCTGTTTTGGTTCCATGTCTTTGTTTTCAGTCCTGTGCCTTAGTTATGTTTTAGTATTTACTTATAGTTCCTTGTCTGCATTAGTTTAGTTTAGTCTGCTCTGTATTCTGTGTTCTTGTTTTGTGTTCTCATTTAGGTTCTGTCTGTTATGATCCCTGTGTTATAGTTGGTCAGTGTTTGTCTGTTTACATGGGTTCTGTTATTGTCTGAAGTTAGATTCTTGTCTGGTATTTTGTTACATGGGTTCTGTCTGTGTTGGTTATTATTTTGCCCCATGGCTGCCTGTCAAGTGTTCTGTCTGTTCCCCCAGTTAATCACTCTGTCTGCCTGCTTCTTTGTTCCCCTTTGCTGTCTCAGCCTGCCTGCCTCTCTCTGTTTTCCCCTGCTCTCTCTCTGCCTGCCTGTGTCTCGTTAGTCTCATGTCTGTCACCTGTGTTGCTCCCGCCCTGCTCTTTAGTCCGTGTGTGTGTGTATATATATATCTGGTGTTTCTGTTTAGTCCTTGTCCGGACATTGCAGTGTTTTTCAGTGTGTTACAGTTTGTTGTAGTGTTGTCTGCCCTGTCTCGTCGTGCTAGTCTTACTTGTTCCCCGTCAGTTGTTTGGATTTTGGATTTTCACCTGTTTCTGGATTTTTCTGTTGGATTACCTTGTTTGTTTGGACTGTGTTATTTTGGATTTCCTGAACTCCTTCCTGCCGCTCTTGTAAGTGTGCTCGCCTTTTGTTTATATTAAAATATCACTGAACTGTAACTGTCAGCCTACGTATCCTGCATTTGGGTCCACCAACCAGCTCTACCCTACACCCACCGTGACACTTGTTGCTGGTGAGGGACCTCTGAGTAAGAGGCAGCGGGGGTAATAGAGGCTCTGATTGACACCACCTTATTGGTAAAATAAGATAAAAACAATTCACAGTCATCATTACTTCCAGCTGAGGCACAAGGAGGGGTTGGGTTTACCAGCTGATCCACAGTCTTAAACAGAAACCTGCGATTGTGTTATGTGTAGTAATGAGTTCAAAAAAATAGTGTTCTCGCATCCTTAACCATGTTATTGTAGTTAATTAATAAATCCTTCAGACTGAGGTAATGGTCTTGGAGACTGGATTTTTTCCATCTGCTCTCTGCTTTCCTGCATTCCCTTTTTAGGCTGCGAATGCTGTCATTTATGTAAATGTAAATGCTCCGTACTTGTATAGCGCCTTTGTAGTCTTTTCGACCACTCAAAGCGCTTTTACACTACATCTGCATTCACCATTCACTCACATTCATTCACTGAGCCTAAGTGGTCAAACAGAAACTAACATTCACAGGGGCAATTCGGGGTTCAGTATCCCAAGGACAGTTCGACATGCAGCCTGGGGGAGCCGGGATTGAACCGCCAACCTGATTAACAGCCAACCCGCTCTTTAATGAACACTTTGTTCATTAAAGATGCAAGAACACACGGAGCTTGGTGAGGCGGCATGAGTAACAGGTGACTCACAGCTAAAAATCTGTGGTCAGATATGGTCATGTCCACTAATTCCACAGAGGAAATGCTGACACACAGGGTAAAAACCAAGTCCAGTGTATGACCACGGTTATGTGTTTGCCCTTTGACATGTTGTATGAAGTTAAAAGAAGTGGCCATATTTAAAAAGTCAGTTGCATTAACATTAGTGGGGTCATCAACATGAATATTAAAATCGCCACAAAGAACAATTCTGTCATAATTTAAAACCAGAGTAGATAAAAATTCATGAAGTTCTGATAAAAATCCTCCAGGTGGTTTTGGGGGGCGATAAATTATAACAAATATGATAGGTTGCAGCCCTCCAACTTTAAGAGTGAGAACTTCAAAGGAGTTAAATTCATCACAGCGTACTTGATAACATTTAAAATTGTTCCTATACACGCTCACTAGCCCACCACCACGACCACTGACCCTCGGTTGACTAAAACAATCATATTGAGGCATATTGTAGTTGTCCTAATCCTTAAGAGATTACTATGATTTCTGTGTGGAATGTGCACATTTCGGTTTACTGGTCTATGCGTGATGATGACAGGAATAGAAGTCTTTGGAACAGCACTGGGAGCAGACGGCTTTACATGCCAGCAGGTGGAGACAGTTGTTTGTAGCAGTGAGGCAGAGTTCTGTTTAGTGACCGGTGGTGTGTCCAGGTGTGCTGCATGAATGATTAGTCATTCACATAAGTCATGTGTGGACTGTACCACATACTGTATGTGAGCAGCTAACATTTCTGAGCCCCATTTGTTTGGGTGAAGTCCGTCTGTCTTAAAAAGAGACATTCTTTGCCAGAAAATATTAAAGTTATCGACATAACACACACCGTGAGCCCTGCAGGCGGACTGAAGCCAGTCGTGGAGGCCAAGGAGTCTACTGAAGAACTGTGGGAATGGGACCAGAGATAAAAACGGACTTTCCACACTGCTTTAAAAATGTAAAAAGACGGTTAAAATCTGATTTTGTCAGCTCAGACTGCTGAAGAGCTGTCATTTGTTCCCACATGGACTATCACTCTTGTGATGGAGGACGGGAATGATGGCATTAGGTCTGTGGTGCCACTGGGGGAGCAGTGAGTGGTAGCGTTCAAGAAACGGATGTTTCTGGTTATGGAGTCACCAGTTATTAGTGTGGTTGGGGAGAAAAGGGGATGAGGAGATGCCGGTTGTGGGGTTCGAGAGCAGGACGGAGCAGAATCTGCTTTAACACTGCGTGCGGACTGAGGATGGAGTGTGTGAGCTACCGAGTGTTGTGTTGGAGTAGCAGTAACAGACCTGAGAGAAGGGCTATCCTAAAGGGTAGAGACGACCTCCGGAGCGTCTGAGCACAGCCTCCTTCAGGATCCTACGTCGGGAAGCGGAGGTTTTTGACCGGGATGACGGCCGGTGCAGGAGATGCAGCCGGTGGAGGAGATGTAACAGTGTCGGCAAGCACTGTCCGCCGAAAGGGATCCATGTCAGGGAGACTCGAAGCCGCAGTTGCATCCACTGGATGGACCGGAGTGTTGTAAGACAGGGATGCAGAGTGGTTGGAGAGGCCGATGTGCGGAGGATAGGCAGCCCCGTCCGAGCCTCTCTTGCAGCCATGGACCACCACTTCAACCCAGGTTGACTGATGCTTCGGAGTCGAGCAGGAGGAAGGCCTTGGAAGGGCAGAGGGGTCCCATAGCACGGTGTCCTGGATGTTAGCGGTTGTGCTAAGAGAAACAATCTGTTTGGCTTGTACTGAAGCCACGTCTATAAAGCCAGTCAGCAGGGAATCTTTCTCTTTGAGTTCCTCTGAAAGTGGTCGGATCAGGTCAGCAATCTTTTTGTTCGCTTTCTTAAGGAGTATACAGTCCTCATGGGGCAGAGTTATCTCGGCTAGCATAACGTTAGTCGCCGGAGCTTCGTTGTGGTCAGTAGCATTGATAGCGTTTTTACGGTCATCTAGCTTAAAATCCATGCCACATAAAACTTAACTTAAAAACTTAAGTTAAATAAAAGGATATAAAAAATGTAACGTAAAAGTGTGGATTAAAACTGGATAAGAGTCAGGTTTAAGACAGAGCTTCCGACAGGTAGCTAAAGACGCCAACGCATGCAAAGATCAATCAACTCTGAATCAGTATATGCCCAGGAAGATTGCTTTGCACCTTTGCTTTTGCCTTACAGTGTCACACTCTGCCTGTCTGTCATGCGGTGTTTTGCACTTTTGTGTTTAGTTAGCGTTATTTTGGTCTGTTGGGGGTCTGTCTTGTCTTTCGTCTAGTGTTCGGTAACCCTAGTCATGTCTGTTACCCCAGTGATCCCTCTGCATGTCTGTCTCTGTTTTCCCCTGCTCTCTCTCTCTCTCTCTCTCTCCCTACCTGTGCCTCGTTAGCCTCATGTCTTTCACCTGTGTTGCTCCCGCCCTGCTCGTTAGTCCCTGTGTATAAATGTTTGGTGTTTCTGTCTTGTCTTTGTCGGGTCATTGTTTATTGTTGCCCTGTGTTGCCTTCCTACTCATCGTGTTTCCCTGCTTATTTTGGATTCTGGTTTTCTCGTTTGGATTACTTTGTTTTGGATTCAAAATCATTAGCCACTCAGTTTGTAAGTGTGCTCACCTTTGTTTGTTTATTAAAACCCCTTGGACTGTACCTCCTTTGCCTTGCGTCCTGCATTTGGGTCCTTCAACCTGCTCAACCCTGCCTTCACCTCAAAACTGTGACATACAGGACCTTTTGTTAGTGAATCTTCTTGGTTTTCTTTTTTCTGCCTCACATGGAGTGCTTGGACTCAAAACACTGTAAGTGACTTTAAGTTTATGTTAATAAATCCACTAGAAGCGACCTGCTAAGCTCACGTATCCTGCATTTGGGTCCTAAAACCTCTTACCTTCCAGACAGAAATAACATGACCCATCGGTCACTTTGTTTGAGACTGTCTCTCTGTCCCCTTCGCTCAAAGACACACTGGTTGGGACTGTGAACTGCACTTTTTGGGAGGTGCTGAAGTTAATCAGTGTGTGTGGATTTGTGGTGAGATTTCTGCCTGATCACAAATATTTCAATTATATTTTTTTAGATTTTGAATTGTCACCTGCCACCTGAATTTGTGTTTTATTTACATAAATAAAAACATTTCTAAGCAGACTCTAGGCTAGGCAGGGCTATCATGGGCTGGGAGAGGGGGTGCAATTATCAGTTAAAAATGCAAAGATTTCTGGGCTGGGCTGAGCCCTCAGCATTTCAAGATCTATAAACCTTGTGTGCATTAGCATTTTAAGTTGTTCCAAAAATACAATGTGTAACTGTATACCACCAAAAAATTAAAGGTTGCTGAAATAAAGATGGTGCTGTACCTGCGAGTATGCAGTGTTGGTGCCGTCCGTGGCCTGCACCGTCAGGTTGTAGAAGGAGCGCTGTTCAGCATCCAGAGGCTTGGCGATGATGATGGTGCCCACAGCTTTCTCTACATCAAACACACCATCGCTGTTCCCACCTGTTCCACAAGAGGAGGTGCACACATACACGTGTCAATCATACATGTACTCTGAAAACACACCAGTTATGATTAATATGTGAATATACACACACAGAAACCAGACAATTTTTTTCATGCTCCAGTGGTTTTCGGTCATGTGCTGAAATGTCCTGACATTTATCTAAACATGCCACATACAGCGGTGATGTGCTTACTCAGACAGCGATTGACTGGAGACCACTGATGCACACATACTTTTCATTGATTTACCTTGGAGTGTGTGATGGTGTAGACACACATTCCTGCAAACCAACAGTTAAAAGCACAAGATCACAGCAACACAACGAAGCACAAGCACTGTCTATGCAAGCAGCACCAACACAAACACTGTGTGTGTGTGTGTGTGTGTGTGTGTGTGTTCCTTTTACTGTCTACACTGTACACATAGTAAATGGATTTAAAACAGAAATTTAATAAGCTACCCACATATTAATAAGAAAAGCAATGTGGGGAGACACACCAGTTGTTATACAATGTTCTTAACAATGTTATAGAATAAGACAGGCTGCCTTCTAGGTTGGTGTATGTCTGTGTGTGGAGCAGACTAGAAGGGATTCCTCAGCACAGCATGTGCAAAGACCTTGGCCCGCCACCACTCAGCCATGGCTTAAGCCAAGACTGTGTGTGTTTATGTGTACGGTTTATGTGTGTTTTCCCAGCAACATTTTGTCAAGCCCATTTTAAGGAAGCTCGCACCCCAGTTTCCTTCCAGTTCAGTTATGTTTTCCCCCTTAGAGCCCCCCACATTTAGACCTACACAAGCCTGCCCCCACTCGTCAGAAGAACTTCCGTCTCAGGGTGAGTGGCATTGTTTTGATGTTGTAATACTGTGATGAATGAGATGAGCATTTACAGTAAGGTTTGGGGTTCAATAACATTTTATTAGATCTCAAGTATTAAATCCACTTGTTTAATCAGAGTCCTTTTGAATCCCTTGTATATTCTAATAACTATAAATTCAGCTTTCAACATTTACCCTAAAAAAAGCTTTGAGTTTTACTTCCACACTGTTGACATAGCTTACTGTTATTAGGCTACTCCCGCTACTGGCTTATATTTCAGATGCTGCTATTATTTAAGTATTAGGCTTACCCCTGCTACTGTTAAGTACTTCTGATGCTGCTATTAATTAAAGGCTTAGCATATAAGGTATAGCCTACATACTTCAGATAGGGGTTACACAGCGCACTTTATAATGCTCCAGCCCCGTCATTCTCACTCCCCTGACAGTATACAGATCAGCTGTCTCGTCAGTGTGTGTTTCTTACTATAGGTTATATTACCGTCTTATTTCTGCAGGTCTGACTGATGGTGAAAAGTTCATCAAATACTGGAGAAGTGCTTCTACCTGGCAAGTTAAGTTTTCCAGGTTTCCTTTACAGCTGCATTAAAAATCAAAAAAGATTCACAGTAACTTTGGATTAATTTAATTAATGTATGGCTGCAGCAGTAAACAAATGCCATTCTTCCTTTTGGCTGGCCAGCATCTCTTGTCTTATAAGTTCAATTACGCTATTGTGACTTTGTTTTTAGCATATTGGACCATGAGAAACAGCATTTTGTTCATTTGTATAGTCTACTCGGTATGCGGATGAATGACAATAAACAAACTTGAACTGATCATAAATCAATGTCAGTCCATTTCTATTTTGCATTAGCCCAGAGTTATAATCTTGATGAAGACACTAGATAATCATTGTCTTATTTTAAAATTGATCCTAAAAATGGTTCCCACACAGTTTGCTGCTTGAAAGCTGAGTTTTATTTGGTGCATGTGCATTTGAACACATATTTATAAACATCTGTATTTCACACTCACAGCACTGGAAGTGGCTGGCAAGCAAGACAGACCAAGAGATCCACTGCCAAACTAGGTCAGTAAGACTACTTCTCTGAGTAGTGCCAGCTGTGTGCAAGAAAAACGCACGGTACATTAAAGAGGAAAATGTAAGGACCGGTCTGTACCAGTGAATAGCCTACCAGACCTATCAGCACTTTTTAAGTTTACTTTTACGGTTTACATAACCATGCCTAGTGAATAGTAGATTTTAAAACACTGGTATGTAGAATGTTTAGATAATAGTGATAAAATGTGGTGCACTACTGTCAACCACAGTTAGAAAATATTCATTCTTACATGATACATGAAGTGCATAGTAATATCAACAAGCTGCAGTTAATCTCCATTCTCCTTTACTGTGCTGCATGATGTTCTGGAGAGAATGCATCATATAGAATGTAGAATTTATTTAGTCTAAACATCTATATGTAATTCTATAAACAACGGCCCTTCTGATGGGTATCTTCATATTTAGCAGTTTAATGAAACCTAAGAGATGACATTCAATCACAGGCAGATAACCTGACTTTTTTATCAGATGGTCGACAGACCTGGCGTTCACAGGAAGAAATGATTGTTAGCTGTTAGATGTGACAATATCTGAGTTGACCTGGATTGAGGACAGCCCTTGTGAGCACAATAATTTTCAAACAGACATATATTGTACAGAAGAATAGATGTGGCAAATAATTAAGGGTTTTTAAGTTGGAGTTGCTTTGCAGAATGTACTGTAAAGTGGGCTGTGCTGTTTGCTATGTATACCACAAAATATTAATGACCAAATGATGACAGATAAAGATGCTTAACCATACTGTGATCACAGGCATCTTCAAACAGCCAGGTCTGCCATCCATCCTAATCATCGTCATGCAAGACATAAGGAAGAAAAGAGTTTGGCAAGAATCCTACTAAGGCCAGAAAAAGATTCCTCACTACAGAGAGAGAAAATTCAAAATTCAAATTCAAAGGGCCACAGACTAGATTCAAACCCAGGCCGCTGCAGAAAGGACTCAGCCTTGTACATGGGGCGCGCACTCTACCAACTGTGCTAACCGTGCCCAAAATATTTAACATCCATCAGCGGATGAGTTATTTAAATTACAATATTTTGTACCCTCTTCCAATCTTGTTTTTCCTGCCAATTACAATGAAGTAGTCTCTGTGGCCGTGATAAACAAGTCACAATGAACGATGAACACGTCCTATATTTACAAGCTTATGGCAAAGTCAGTATGTACTTTAGCAATCATATAGTTTTTTTCAAGAAGAGTTAGGCTACCCAGAAGTGCCAGTGGTACTATACATGTTCTAGGTTAGCTTATAAAAAAAACAACACACCTTCAAATTTGAGGGTTTTTTGTGTCAAAATACAGCAAATATTATGAACTATTAATGGATTTTGTTATTCTTATTGTTGGCGGTACATTTGTGTAGTTTTGTGAATATGCACGATGAAAACTGAATTAATTACTAGCCATTCCTGCTTGCACTGTAACAATACAGACCACTATCAGCTGAATTACTTTAATACTGAAGAAAATGTCTAAATATGATGATTTTGAGGTGAGGTTTAATCTTTTTATTTTTAATTGATAGACATGTAGAGTAAGTTGTGCTGATTCCAAGATCTGTGTGTTCACAACTGAGCTGTGGGGGCGTGGTAAGACCACTTGATACAGCATACGCAGCATGTACAAGGCTGAGTCCTTACTGCAGCAGCCCTTTGCTGCTTTAAAGAAAATAGGGCCTCCTAAACCAGGAACGGAGACACGGATGGGGTGCTATGATTGAGACCCTGGGGTTTCTCTGCTGGCTGGCAAGTGGGGCATCATACAGGGTGGTCTCCAGAGTGTTGTAATGCCTCGTCCACAGAGTCACTGAGGAGGTGGTGGCCATTCGCCACAAGGTCATCCACCTACCAAAGACCCAGGATGAGTTACAACCGATATCCCGTAGGTTTGCAGGGCTGGCAAGACACAGAGCCTTTTTTAAAGCAGCTGGAGCAATCGACGGCTGCCATGTCTGCGTCAAGCCACCGAGCGGCCCTGATGGTCAGTGCTACAGGAACAGGAAACTGTTTCCATCTATCATCCTGCAGGCTGTCTGTGACCATCAGGGCCGCTTCATTGACACCTACGTGGGCTGGCCTGGGTCGGTCCACGACTCCAGAGTGCTCCGCTACAGCCCACTGTACAGGAGCTCACTCTACCCTCCTCCAGGACATTTCATCCTTGCAGACGGAGGGTACCCGTGCCTCCAACACCCACTCCCCCTCATCACTCCCTACAAGAAGCCAATACAAGGTGTGGGAGCCCAGCGCTTCAACAGCCATCACTCCAGGGCACGCTCCATTATAGAGCGTGCTTTTGGGATGATGAAGACCAGGTTCCGGGCCATCTTCCAGCAAGCGCTGGAGGTGCACCACACCTTTTTACCTCACATGAGTTTTTTTTTTTTTAATTATGCTATTGAGTAAATTAACAGACTGATTCATCAAAAAGCATACATTTTTTCAGACTGAATATAATATATTATTTAACCATTTCTGGTCATAACAGCATGTGCCATCCTCCACAACATCTGCCTTGGGGCTGGTGACATTGTGGCCCCAGAGGATGAGCCTGAGGAGGATGTGGCAGAGGATGAGGGGAGAACGGTTTGGAGACGGTCAGTGGTGCTCCCTGGCGTGACCAGCTGTCTGCAGAGGTGTCTGCCCTGGAGGAGGTGCCCCCTGACCACCAATATTTTTAACAGGCAAGTAAAAGATCGGTAAATTCCTATTCATATCCTAACAATTTTGCCTGTTGAAATATTTTGTAGAGATTTATTTTGTCAAAATAAGATTGTGAATTAGTATTTTGTGTGCACGGCCTATTATTCTTGCCTCTTACTAAAACATCTTATGGCAGCCGTCGATTGAACCAGCCCTGCACACCCACTGATGGACGATGCGGTGGACAGTGGAGAGATGCATCCACACCTGCAACACACTCTGGAGACCACCCCAGACGATGTCCTGCTGACCAGGGTCTTTATTGTGGCACCCCATCCAGGTCCAGCAGCATCACCAGGGTCTCCCTGCTCAGTGGAATAAATGTTGTAAATATGTTGTAAATAG